TTAAATGTTTCCCCTTAAATCACCTACTATCTACCCATCTGCAGGGAGAGCAAACACAGGTCTCAGCAGGTCAGGCACCCTACATGAAGAAAGGAGGCTGAAGTAATATCAGAGACCAGGAGGAACTATAGCAAACTGCAAGGTATTCACTTCAAAGGTTTTTCAACACTGTGATGGTCAAATCAAACACAAAATCAGGAAGCCCAGTTCAGTTACCAGCAGCCAACATGGGATGTTTGATCTACATGCTACAGGGCAAACTGCTTAGGATGAATGGCCTGGTCTCTACCAACCTGTTCTTCAAGTCCCTCCTGCACAGTAGTCCCTACACTCTACTGACATGACCCACATTCACAGGACTCTCCTGACACTTCAACTTTGCTTGTTTAGTCTTTTTTTCCCCAACGACTATTTTCTTTTCTTTCTTTTGTCTTTTTTTTTTTTTTTGACTATTTTTGATACTGAGTTCACCTCTGTCACACAGGCTTAAGTACAGTGAGGTGATTATGACTCACTGCAGATTCCATCTCCTGGGCTCAAGTGATTTTCGTGTCACCTTAGCCTCCCAAGTAGTTGGGATTACAAGCATGTACCACCATACCAAGTTTTTTGATTATTATTACTATTATTATCATTATTATTTTGAGATGGAGTCTCACTCTATCACCCAGGCTGGAGTGCAGTGGCATGATGTAGGCTCACTGCAACCTCTGCCTTCCATGTTCAAGTGATTCTCCTGCCTCAGCCTCCTGAGTAGCTAGGATTACAGGTGTGCACCATCAAGTCCAGCTAATTTTTGTATTTTTAGTAGAGAAAGTTTCACCATGTTGGCCAGGATGGTCTCGATCTCTTGACCTCGTGATCTGCCCGCCTTGGCCTCCCAAAGTGCTGGGATTACAGGCATGAGCCACTGTGTCCAGTCATAAATACTATTTGAAAGCAGCCTTTTGCTACTATATGTAATAACCTTCCTCCATTGGCTGCTGCACACTGGTGCATTTCAGGTTACACTTTCATCTGCACTGCCAGCAAAAGATCAATGTTCTTTACCTCTTCAACCATGAGAGCATGCTATTTAATAAGAAACAACTTTCCACAAAGAATTCATGGAATGGGAATTAAAAATAGTAAGCAGAGGCTGATTTAGATCAAAAGAGGCATAACAACCAAAGTTAGCACATGAAGATTGTTTGGATCCAGGTTTAAAGCAAAATTTTTTCAGATAATGAAGAAATGAGATACTGTTCAGAAAAGAATGAGGAAACTTGATTAAGGGCTATATATGAGCTGACACCAAAAATATCATTGTTAATTTTGTCAGATGTGATGAGATAGTGGCAGCTTAAGAAAATGTTAATACAGTTTGGGGATGCACACTGGACAGATAAAATGATGTGATGACTGTGATTTGCTTTACAATATTCCTGCAAAGGGAGGTAAAGAATAGAAGAACAAAATGTGGACAATCTTAATGATCACAGAAATCGAGGAATGGGTATTTTAGTGTTCATAGTACTATTTTCTCTACTTTTGAATAGGTATAAAAACTGTAATTTAAAAATGTTTAAAAAAAAAAAACATGGCCACTGCTTACTTCTATAAATCCAACATTTGGGAGGCCGAGGCATGTGGATCACTTAGGTCAGGAGTTAGAGACCAGCCTGGCCAACATGGTGAAACCCTGTCTCTACCAAAAATACAAAAAAAAAAAAAAAAAAAAACAAAACAATTAGCTGAACGTGGTGGCAGGCACCTGTAGTCCCAGCTACTCAGAAGGTTGAGGCAAGAGAATTGCTTGCACCCAGGAGGCAGAGGCTGCAGTGAGCCAAGATCATGCCACTGGACTCCAGCATGGGCAACAGAGTGAGAATCTGCCTAAGAAGAAATAAAAAAATAAAAAAAAAGTCAAAATTAATTTACTATTCCATGCTCTGAAGCCACATCCAAACAGAATTCT